TCCATCCTTCTGTCTCGATATAATTGTTCACATTTCTGATCAGATGTCGTTGATTTCGGGCAAAGTCAATATCTGCATTGTAATTGCTGCACGGTGCCACAGTTAGATGATCATAGTTTTGACCATGTCGATAAGTAGTCGAATGCTTTTTATCGGACCTCGAATGACACTTATAGCCAGGATGTTGACATAGGAGACGAATATCGCGGATACCCGGATGAGCAAATGACTCTAGATGGTCTTCGTTAGTTATTTTTGGACATTGATCACTTTGTGGACACAGTTGTCGAGCGATGTGAATAGTAGTTTCGTAGTGTTTGTCTTCATCTGTTTTGCATTGGCGGCCATAGGGACAGAGATGTGCAAACTGAAGACAATGACGTTCTGCTTCCGATGAACATCTTTTCATTTTACCAGGCTGAAAGAATTCGACAAATAGAGCACAACTATAGGGTGTGAATGGACATGGTTCACGAAAGGAGTGAATTGTTTTTCTCATATGTGATTCATCGTGAATTTGACTGCAACAGTTATCTTCGGGACAGACTAATTTGACATGTCGAAATGCTTTGATATGATTGTCGTCACGGCTCCAGATCAGGGGACAGTCGATTCCATCTTGACATGCAGGTAGATGTCGATAATCAAATAGATGTTGAGGGTCAGTGTTATAACAATGAGATTGATCTTTGCAAAAGTCTGGATGATCGAAATCGTTCAGATGTGCTGCATCTGTGCTGGTGCATTCGCCACCTTTCTCACACTTTTTTGTATGCATAAAGGTAGCCAAATGTACATCGTCATTCATGTGTTCACATTGTGAGTTCGCTTTCTGTAATGGACATCTTGGTGGATGTGAAAACTGTTGACTGTGATCTTTAGTTCTTATATCACGACAGTTGTTGCCATGTTGACAAGGAGCTGCTTGTGAGATGATAACATCATCCAATATCAATTGACCATCGGCTGTTTTGTCAAGAACACGATATGGTCCACTCACTCCATCCACTCGTAACGTTTTCGGTGGTTCCACTTGAAAGCCGTCTAGTATAGCTTTGAATGGTCCATAGTTTCCTTTGGGATTCACCACACCTTTTGCATTGTGATCATTGATGATGGCAAAATAAATCGTGTCGAAGTAGCCAGCATATTGTAAAATAACTGATTTGAATAGCAGAGCAACATGTTCAGGTGGATTTCGAAAAGCACCACAACCCAATGCAGACAACACTAGACAATCATGCTTTTGATGATGTGCAATGGCGAAGATGTTCTCAATTTTTCGACGAGTGTTCATGGCGGGTTTGTTTTGCAGTTTGTTGTCAGGAGTGAGAGGAGGATCTCGATAGGCTGCCATAGCAATAGCACACACATTGTAGAGAGGTTGTTTCTTGTAAGGATAGCCATCTTGTTCAGTTCCGCGAAACACAGTGATGCCTGCTGTGTAGATGCCTCCAAACTCTTCCATCGGATAGAAGTCACCGAATCCTTTCAACTGTTTAAGTTCACCCTTTGGTGTGTAGTAGAGTCTCTCTGATCGAGTTCGATCAGCTAATTCTCCATCGAGACTGTGATAGTAGTCAGAACGGCGAAAAATGTTTTCTTCTTGTGCACCATCACCTTTTCGATAGCCACCACCTGGACTAGTTGCATTCGCCATGTTGAGCAGCAATGGTCGATGCCCTTTTGCCACCAGTTGTTCATATAGAACAAGACAATCTTCTTCGACGACTTGAACAGTTGTTTTTGGATATGGTGTTTGGAAATCTGTTTGTGACAGTGTTTTTCTTGTGAATAGTTTGGATTGGTGACTGTAGCCAATGGTTTGTATTCGTTCAAGTTTTAGTTTGACCAAAGTATCATCGACAATATACTGTTTCTTCCTTAACGTGCCTATAGTGTTGAGCATAACAGTCACCCGTAGTAGATGTTTTGTGAGATCATAGCCTTTGGCAGGAATAGCTGCTGCTTTGTTCATTTGCTTTAGGAAGTTCTGAGCATTCCACTTGAACCGAAATATGGGGTGTTGATAATCATGAATAATGGTAGTTACATCTGGTACAATATCTTGCATTTTTGTTTCATACCAGTTCAAAGCATCGAGTTCACATGAATCTGGATCACTAACAACAGTATGTGGTTTGATGATGAAAGCTTCACTTTCTATTCCGAAGCCTCCAACTTCCAAACAAAATTTGAAATGGTCAAAATCCTGCAATTCGATAACTAATTTGTCGTCAATAAGTTTTTGTGAAACGACGTAATTAATAAACAATCGATTATTTAGGATCTTGTTTATATCAAAATCTCGAGGTACAGGAGAAACGAGCACTCTGTAGGAGAGCTTAAATTTTCGTGATATATTCAGACCATTGATAGTAAGAAATCCTTGCTTTGCCCATTTCTTTTCAGATTTGGAGGCGACTATCATTCCACTACCTGTTCTGCTATTATGTTGAACATAAAACGATCTGAAGCTGAGTTGTTTCGCGCCGATTTGAGCAGCAATAGCTGATCTGATTTCGTCGTCTTCAATAGGCAGTGGTAGATCTTCAAAAAAATTACAATCGAAACGCGAATACACCGTAGCAGATACACCTAGAATTTTGAAACTCGGTACCTCCACTGCGGGCAACAATTCATGAAACTTTTGGAAAGCGATTCGAAAAACATTGGGAAATTGATCGGACACTGTTTTGCAAGCACATATTCTCGATATTTTATATGATTTTGTATAATGTTGAGCTACTTCATTCACAGATGGAATATTCATTGCATTTCGATCGATGATAATGTACGAATCGAGTTCAAGTTTGTCCTCGAATGATATAGTGGTACGGAGATCCGTTTCAAGAACAATTGACTGAACGTTCGCCACAAGATGATTTTTATCATTATCATCGAACAATGTAATAATGGCTACGCCAAGCTTAGAATAACATTTAACATTGTGAACCTTCATACGTTGACTGGTCTGCACACGAGTCTGAATCAATGTAGCGAGTTCATCCTCATCAATATCCATAGGGATATCAGGTACGTAAACTATGGGATTATTCATGTTTGTCCTTACCGTTGGTGAGGTCTATACTATCGAAATCTAAAATAAAGAAAACAATACCATTCAATCTTACGATCCTACTTTTTTTTCTATTCGACAAAAAAATACTGGTTCGGGTTAATAAGAAAGTGCTTAGTCAGTTAGTGACGACGTGCGATCTGTTATCTAACCTGAGAGTCGTCTTTTATTCATAAATGATAATAGAAAAACATTCTTTTTTTCATATCAGGCACAATCTCATACATGGAAAAAACCTAATAAAATGTTGACTTGTTCTATTTGTTTTGTGATAGTGTCAAAAGTGTTTTGAAGCATCATTCTCGTTGAAGCTAAAGAAAAAAAATTAAATCTTTGGACTTTATTTTTATGTGAAACAGATCAACGAGACGCGGGTGACTAGACAGAATGTCACAAGACAAAAAGTCGCGAACAAAATGTTGCAACATCAAACTCTTTAAAAATATCAGGAATAACTAGCACTCATTAGAAGAGTTTTGTCTGAGATTGTGTAAAATCAGTTGAACGGAATAAAACTCACCTGCAACAACTGCAGACTTGTAAACTCCACGGTTTCAGAAGATTGCGAAGGCTAACAAAATGTCATAAGACCTAACAATAGTAGTTTGGAGTATTCGTCTTTTGTAAATATTTTGTAAAAACATGGAAGTATTTAAAGAAAATCCAAAACAATCTTTAATGGTATATATAAAACTTTCATTATCATGACTCTTTTCGTATCTAATTATATCAAATCTGTGGTATATAATGGAGCCAACTACTTTCAATTCGAATCTAAGATTTTCTCAAAAACCAGAATTGTTTACATACTTTTGTCATTTCTATTGCTACGTTACGTCGAAATCGGTGGATGAATTATGGATATTTCAATTTAGAATGTGTTGCAACATTTTCTCTACGACTTTCTGTTCTAACGCTGTTTTCAATAGTTTGAAATTATAATCAATCGACGACTACTGACTCCAATTTTGAATCGAGCTAATTATGACCAAATTGTTTAGATTTGTTGCCATAAGTTCGACATGTTGAGAAGTTTGTGTTAGACTTCATTGGAAGACAATACAGGACATCGATATTGTTCTTGAAAGTTCTAATACTAACGCGTTGCTTATTCATAAACGGAAACATATTTTGTAAATGCGCTGTAGGATTTAGAGTTCACGTTAGTTCAAGAACTGACTAACATCACTTACTGCGAATGATATTTCAAGATACGCTCGAACTAGACAGTTTTCTTTTCGATAAAGTACAGTCGAGCGATGTCAATCATCTGACTGTCGAAGAACAACTAGTACATGTTAATGTTAAATTTTGATCTGGTACGCTAAAGCTAATCTTTTTGAATTGCGACATCAGCTAGAAGAATAACGATTTGTGCATCTCTGAATAAACCCTGATGCAGTAGTTATTGATTAGCGTAAAAAATATTGATTTATTCACTTAGGTTATATCATATTCTTGTCGCGTTGAAAATCTTAAAAGATTTTTATACAGAAGTAAAGCATGAATTACATGGTCACTATACTGGCGTTCGATCGATTCAGGTTAGACTCTTCTATGTGTAGTAAGGAAACTATATTTTCGAGCTGTCGAATTCAACTACAGTAATAGATGGATTCAAATGAAGTGTCACTTAAAAACTTATTAGTATACTAAGAAAAGATGTCACATTATCGCACGTATAAGTTATTTCGTCAAAACAAATATTCATGTGTTTTTTTCAAGTAGGATGTGAATATGTTGCACTGTGTTTCGGATCGTTCTTATTTCGACAGTCATTACCAAATTTGCAAGGAATCACTGCTCTTGGCCGGGTGCTAGCAATGACAGGTGCCAGTGGTTTGTGTTCTAAACATAGATTCAAGATTTAACACCTTCTAACATTGAAAACAGAAAATCATCTTCAAAGAAAACTTACTCTTGAATGACGGTATTTCTTCTCCATGAAAATATCTTAGACGATGTTCATCAGATTTATCGTAGCAAAGCTCTTGATACTGACACGCCATGAGAAGATCAGGTAAACCTCTATGGCGATATTGTGCACGATGTACTGGATCGGCTTTTTCTCTGCAATCTCTGTCATCTGTACATCGTGGAACCTTGTGATTTTGATGAACAAGATGTGGTTCATCTGCCTGTTTTCGACACTGATCGTTGAAACGACATATGTGAGAAAATTCATCGGTATGTGTCCTAACATTTTGGTTGAGACAGTAGATAGAATCACGACAAAGAGGTAGCTTTGATGAATGCAGTGGCGGCGTTCTAGGTCTCGGTGGCGGTCGAGCCTTTGGCGATGGTGACCTCGATCTTGATGAGTTACGTTTCGGCGATGGTGGCCTGCCTCGTTGGGGCTTAGATTCGACTCTTTCGTCTCTCGGTTGATCGTACTCTGGCGTATCTGTAGTTGGCACATCAGAAGAATGTTCAGTATAGGCAGCTGCTTGTGCTACCTGCTTTTGGTCCACCGTAACTGTACCAAAAAGCATGCATTTTATTTTTTTGAACAGGCCCATCTTTTTTTGTGGAGTTTTAACAGAAGCCGGTCGTGTTTTTGGTGGTTTAGGATATACGTCATGGCGTTCTTTTGCCGCATCTGGATGATGATGTCTGGGGGCAATGTGATCCACCGATGATCGGCGCTTTCTTATCAGTTCAGATGTATTTATTCCAAAATCTTTATCAGACGTCGGATGTAATTCATCGATTCGCTCATGATGAATTCTCAAGTTACGAATTGGAACATCTTGACTTCCAGCACTAACATGAACATATTCGATTCGTGATAAGTCCAACTCAGATTTGTCGAACTTATAAGCAATCTTCTCGTGATTGTATATGCCATTTGCACCAGCATGAAACAAACGTGCTTCATTTGTCTTATAATCGATTTCCAGACAAAACGTGAGGAAGTCATCCGTATTACAACCTCGATAGAAGACATGCGACTTAGCTCGGAACTTCCCTTTCGAAACATTGGTCGAATGTTCAAATGGATGACCATCATTGAGATACGAATAGTTCTCATGATAACGTGATGTTGCTGTTGATGGTTTTTCAGCCACATAACAAACAAGACATCGCAAATGAGGCTGATCTTCAGTCGGCTGTATCTTTTCATTGGCAATGGTCAGCATCATATCACAATGCATGGCTTGCCAATAGATGAGAGTGTAGCGTGGTCTTTCTGGTGCTTTGTCATTATCGAGTCGATAGAGTTCGTATGATTGTTTGATCGTCATGGGAAGAACAATGTGTTCATCATAGTTTGAACCTGAAGCTGTGACAACAATACCTCGTGAAATGTGTGGTGTATTCATTCTTTCTTGAATCTGTTTGACGATTTTATCAACTATAAAACTGCAATAAGGCACACGCGTAGCATCCAATGGAACACCACTACCTGGCTTGAGCAGAGTAAGATCGACTGGGTGTGGATACATGATGAGTGAGTCTTTAAATAACCGTTTTGCTGAGCTTTGTGCCTCAGGACTGAGAGAGTCAAAGATGTTTTGTGGCATGTAGACAGATTCAATGTAATCTAGTGGAATGAGTTGTGGAAGATGAGCTTCGAATGTTTCATGAGAATCGACCCGTTTCCATCGACTTAAGTTATCGTTGATGTCAGCATCCATGGATTTTGTAGTGAGACCAGTAAGAGCAGCTAGCTCGGTGGCAGCTGCATATTCATAACGGTGAACAGAACAGTGTAGTTTGGAATGGTGGAAATCAGCAATGCGTTCGTTATCAGCGGTTTGATTGGGTATCCAGGGACGACATCCATATGTTCTTCCACTTTTGAAACTAGTAGCTGCTTGAATAGAAAAGTTGCTGTCAGGATGGAACATGATTTCCTGTTTGAAGATGATTACAATATCACCATAGTAATAACCTAGATGTGGACCCAAAATGCTAAAAACATGTCGATCTGTTTCCATGATTACATCGACACCAAATCCTATTCCTGCTGGTGTACTATGTAATTTAATGGATGCCTGTGCAATATTTGTTGCGGAATCATAAATAACTTTCATATCATGGTCACTAAGCGCTGTTTTTAGCCTTCGTTCTGCTATTTTTTTCTCCTCTTGATGATCAGGATCCGGTGTAGTCATTACATAAGTTCCTGTCTTCACGAGCTCGTCTATAACTAACGTTTTAACAAGCTTATATGCATTATTCTTGGTTGCAGGATTGTTATGCTTGAGAATGATAGAACGTACGTCGTTGTGTTGTAACACAGCCTTCGCTACAGATGATGGCCTATTTAGTTTCTCCATATACTTTCGACTCATAACATGACCATGTACAAGGATCGATTCGAATATCTCTTGCCGACATCGATGTACTGGCTGAAGTGCTCGTATCCAGTTCCGTAGTTCACTTCGAACCTTTTTATTTGTCCATCCTTCTGTCTCGATATAATTGTTCACATTTCTGATCAGATGTCGTTGATTTCGGGCAAAGTCAATATCTGCATTGTAATTGCTGCACGGTGCCACAGTTAGATGATCATAGTTTTGACCATGTCGATAAGTAGTCGAATGCTTTTT